GGCTGAACCACCCTTGCATTCTTGGGGTAATGTCAGTCTTTTAATCATTCTAGCAGGTGTGTGGTGGTATCAGTTCTCATTTGCATCTTGATGACTAATGATATTCAGCAACTTCTCATGTGCTCGTGGTGTATACATACACCACGCCTAATGTAAATAAATTTATCCAGTAAAGGCCTTGTATTCAGTACTGAAAGTGGTTTTCAAATGGGTTGTCATAATATTGAGTTGCATGAGTTCTTTACATATTGTGAATACAAGGCCTTTACTTGATAAATTTATTGTGAATTTCCCACCCCCCATCTTCAGCTTGGTTTTTCATTTTCCTAACCATGTTCAAAGAGCATGTGTTTTAATAGCTGATCAATTTTTTTTCCTTTTATGGTGTACTTTGTATTCTAAGAAATCTTTACTTACTCAAAGGTTGTGAAGATTTTTTCTTGTTTTAGAAGTTTTATAGTTTTAGCTTTTGCATTTAGATCCATTTATTTCAAGTTAATTTTTGTGTTGTGTGAGGTAAAAGTTTAAGTTTATTCTCCAGTGGGACACAGAGTTGTTGCAGCATTATTTGCTGAAGACGTCCTTTTTCCCCCTAACTGCCTTGGCATGTTAGTAGATCATTTGAACACATACACAGGGCTTTCCTTTTGCCAAACTAGTTTTGAGTATTGCAGCGTTCAGTTTTGAAATCAAGAAGTTCAAGTCTAACTTTTTGTTAGACTTTTGTCAGTTTTGTTTTAACAAGTTCACCGCTATCTTCTAGGTCATATGCATCTCCAAACATATTTTAAAATCAGCCTGTCAACTTCTAAAAATTGCTGGAATTCTAAGAGGGACAGTGTCAGGTCTATGGATCAATATTATTTTCGTAAAATGAGTTAGCAAGTGAATTTTCTCCTTAGTGTTTTGTTGGATAGGTACTATTTCTTACTTAAATGACTGCTAGAATTTACTGGAGAAGCATCTAGATATGCAGTTCTGTGAGAAAGTTTTCCATTGTGCTATTCAGAGCTATTCAGACTTTAGATTTTGAAGAAGGCTCCTGCCAAGAAGCTTTTTACTCTTGGAAAACTCATCCACTATTAATGCCACAGATGCTAACAAGAAGCAAAAAGTAGTAATTACCAGAATTTTGGCTGGAGAAGATTCCTGTCTATCAAGGTGCTATGCAGGTGGCCTAGACAGAATTTTACTTTTATTCCTAATGCATGATACATGGTAGAAAGGAATGAACTTAAGTTTCCACCCCCATGAGTAGTAGTATTCTGTTTCTTCATGCTCCCCTCCCTTTCACAAATATATTTACCTTGTCAGACGCTAACGTCTTTAAGCTGGTACTATTTCTTGTTTTGAGAGCCCCAGCACCCAGCTCAGTGCTAGGTAAACTGTAGGCATTCCAGTTTGTCAAGGTACAGATAACAACACTGTCGCTCATGGTACTGCAGTGTTTTGGGGGCAACAGGCAAGAGACTGAGTTTAGGACTTAACTCTTCTTAGGACTGTGAAGAAGAGATGCCTAGTAGCCTCCACCAAGAGAGACTGAAATGCTACCAGAATTCCTTAAAGAAAATTCTTTAGCACATAAGGCTCACTAATTTATCCTTGATGTTATTGAAATATCAGCTGGCACTATATTTGTACCATAAACCTTAGATCACTCTTATTCTTTTTGAAGATGGAAGCAACATGATAGAAGTGAATGCATAATGGATTCTGGAATTACAAGGCCTGATTTAAGGGATGTATGCTTACTGATCTAAGCATCAAATGAATAAATGTGCAAATACTATGTAAACTTCATAAGTAAGTATACAAGTGTACTGAAAATGTTAGTTGCTCAGTTGTGTCCGACTCTTTGTGATCCCATAGGCTGTAGCCCACCAGGCTTCTCTGTCCATGGAATTTTCCAGGCAAAAATACTGGAGTGGGTTGTTATTTCCTTCTCCAGAGGATCTTTCTGACAGAGATTGAACCCACATCTCCTGCATTGGCAGTTGGATTCTTTACCACTGCACCACAAGGGTAAGTTAATATTAACTGAGCCCACAGAAATAAATAGAGTTATACAGGTCAGGTTAGTGGGAACACAAACATTTAGTCTCTCTATGGATTGGGGTTAAATGCCACAAAGTCAGCTTCAGCAATACAGGTACTAGGTAAAAGATTTCTTTGTTCTTTTCCCAATCTTCCCTCTTCATTTCTCAATTCCTATCCCTTTCTCCACCTTACCATTTCAGCAAGACCCAATTCACATCTGTCCTTTCAAAACATGGCCTATCTCCAAATTTTAAATCCTCTTAGCATAATACACAAATTCACAGCTCAATATAGTAAACCTCCCAGAGAGATTTGATTTTTAAATCTGAAGGAATGAATTTTTACAGTGAATTTCAGTGGCTGTTTCAGGCAGATGGGGAGATGTTTTAGAAGCACAGGAGCATTACATAGGGACCTATTAGACTACCCAAAGTAATCTACTTGCGGGGCCAGACCAACTTCTGAAATTACTTTACTTTCACTTTAAATAAAGCTGCTTTTCTCAGTTCCCAAGAGGTTCAAATAAACTCTCTGAGACATTTTGTTGGTGTAGATTTTAAATTACAAGCTTGATCTGTCACCCCCAATACAGTTTTTAAGGAAGATTAGTTACAAATCGTTGTCAGTACTTTCCAATGACAGAAAAAAATCACATGATAGTAAAACTTGGTGAATTCTTTATGTGAGAGATAACAATTCTCTCATCACCAGATGGAATTACTCCAATTCATGCAATAAATGACCATTACATTTTTAAAAGTTGCCCTAGTTTTTCTAGGTGAGATTTCATGCCTATTTTAAATCAAGACATCAGTATGCTCTTGAGCTCACCTCACTCTCCATGGGAAGCAGTGAGGACACACATGGTTGTTCTGAGATACAAGTGGACTCCAGAGGACCACAGTGTCATCTCAGATCTTTCACCTCTGTGTGAAGGTGCCTAGGAGATCTTCAGTTTCAGAAGTAATGGCCCCGGTGGCCAATGTAACACTACAGATTATTTAGAACTTCAATAGTGATCAAAAAAAGGAACAGGAAGGAAATTTTGACTTATCTTGACATAAAAGCGGCAGAAATCAGCATTGCCAAATTTCTGTAACTATAAATCATGAGGGTAAAACAGAAGAGGTTCGTCTATGTAGGGGATACCCACACAGTAGACTTTGTGAATGTCTCTTACAGAACCACATAAGATAGTACCATCAATATTTTATATATTTACATACAAGTTGAATACAAATTCTTAAAATTTATAATAGAACATTAAAATAATCTTCTAATAAAATCAGCCTTAAGTATAAGGAATCTAGATTTCAGTATCTTGTACACTTCTAAATAAATATCTTTGATCTATAATCCTTGAAAATATTATAGTTTATGGTGGCATGATAGAGACAAGTCAAACAGTATTATAAGTAAAAATAAAACATTAATTTAAAAATAAGCCTAAAAACACACTGGGTTGAAATGATAGAAAATCAAAACACTAAGTATACAGTAATTAAATATCAGGTATAACCAAATGCGTGCTAAATGACACAATTTCAACTTCTATAAAAAGCCCTTTAAAAATCATAAGTCTAAATAAATAAGCTGAAACACGAAGGGATGTACTGTACCAGCCAGTAACAACTAGTAAGAAAATTCTCTTTTTCTTTTAAATGATCCTAACTAAAAAACATGAAATAATGATCATTGCTAAAAAACTATAATTCATGTGTTTTGTTTCTTTTAGAATGCTATCAATGAGATTAAAAAGTTAAAGAAAGGCTTCCTAATTGTTAGGTCATTACTTTAGAAAAGGAAAACTGACAGATTTAAATAAAAATCAGACATTTGTCTATTTAAGATATGATTGAATTTTCATCTAATGACCCCATATTAGGTCTGAATCAAGCCCATGATATGAATGCACACTGAAGCATCTGAATATCTGATCTGTTAATACTGAATTATATATGATGATTTAATTTCATTCACTAAAATATTAATTTATTTTACTGAAGACCAGAATCAAAACATCTAGAGCAGGAACTAATATCTTATTTATCTTTGTAGAAGGGGTCTTAGATTCTCAGAACATAATAGGTGCTCAATAGGTCTTTACTGAATTGAGCTGAATCTGGCATTCATTACAGGAAGCATTGAATCCATGATGAAACTGGCTGCCCGAGACTCAGAGGGAGCTATTCAGTTTTATCTCTAGGCCTGTGATGAACTTCTGGCTAGTTAACCAAGTTAACTGTCACTGTAACTGTCATAGTTTCTCAATTCAGGGCCAAGATTTCTATAATTCATCTGTTTCACAGTTAAGCCTTCTTGAAAGTTTTGTGCCGGCACATTTATAGTCATGTTGAAAGAATAATCTTTGTTATTCTATGTTGGGTTTTTGCTTATGACAGCTGTCTGAAATACACACACACACGGAAAACCATTTCGCAAGTGGAAAACAGAATCTGGAAAGAGTGCACAAAGCCTAAATTACATAGCTCTGGAGGTGAACTAAAAAAAGACACTGAAACCATAAGGAAACTCCTTTTCATTACACACACACTTATTGCGTGATGGCTGGAAGCAATGTCTTTGGACCAACAACTGTAAATCAAGAGTGTCCTTTAACCACTAGCTTGAAGGTAGCCAAAAATGGTTTGGCTCCAACACTGCCCTGTCCAGTTCTGCGCAGTGTAGCTCATTACTCCAGGAAGCAGCGAGGAGGAGGTGGACATGCCGTCCAAAGACCATTCCTTCCATCCACAGTGCTCAGATCAATATTGTTCCATTATGTGATTATTCTAAGAGTTCCTCTGGATTGCCATTTACAGTTGCTGTTTCTGATGTTTGCTGTTCGTCTGTGGGGAAGGGGAGGGGGCGGGTGCATTACAGAACTCCTGAAATAAAAGCTGCTCAGAAAGTTTCACTCTTTGATTCTCACTGCCAGCATGCCTGTCCTTCTTGAACGCTTGCTAGGAGAGGTAGATCCAGTGTTTAAGTTCTGCTATTCCCTGTAGTAACTTAGTGTAATAGAAGTCCATGTTGTCTGCAAAGTCTGTACAAACGGGTGACTCCATGTCCCCAAAAGTGCAGTATAACGCAGTTCCTCCCACACTAAGCAAAACCGTCACTATGCAGAGCAAGACCAGTAAAATACAGGAACCACCTCCAACCTCATCTGCAAACAGGAAAACAGAGTAAGGTTAAGCTGACACAAGAGTCAAACTCTAGTATCTTGTCTCACTGACTAAGGTAACTAGATGTTTCTAATATTAGTCCTCTATGGACAGTCCCTGATAGAAAGCTAGTGTACCAACGACTGTACGAGGACCTGTTACCAGTGGAACTTGTGAATGCTAAAATTAAAACTAGTTCATTTATCCAATGATATAACCACTTCCATTAAAAAAGAAGAAAGAATTTGGCAGTGTATCTCAGATCAAACACATGTGGTTAAGGATTTTTATAGAAACAGGATTATGTAATTGTATTCTCCTTTGATTGACATATTTAGTTTAGTAGATCTTCATAGTTAATAGACCTTAAGAGATTTAATAGTTTATAATTAGTATACTTTTAATAATATATATATATATTATATATATTATATATAATAATATAATAATAGTATACTTAGTATACATACAAATAAAAAGGATTGTATCATTTGTGCTGTGTTTCTTAGTTTTTTGGGGGTTCTGGTCAGTTCAATACTTTTATCATCTTTTCTGTTTTTGCCATGATTCGCACTCACCCTCTCATCTTTGTGAGCAATCTATTTTTTCAGCTATTTCTCCTTTATCATATATTTATTAAAACATTTAGATACAATTTATTTTAAAACATCTATTTTGTTTTATTTATCTACATGCACTGACGCTGTTTAGAGTTGTGATGTCCAACATGGAAGCCAAGAAGCGCAGGTGGCTACTGAGGACAAGTTATATGACTTAGTCTGAGATGAGATGGTTCCTAAGGGAGCTAGGGACTGTCAGTTCTAAATCCAGGGTTCCTCCTACTAAGCAACAATTCAGTATCGATAGGTACAAACAAAGAACTGAGCACTTTATCTGGAGAAGACTGTGATAGTTACAAGCAAGGTTCAGGGTAAAAATGAGGAGTGAGAACAGATTATTTCCACGGCTCCTGCCAGCTTTATAGTTGTAAAAATTGAGAAACATCTACTGCTATCACTTTATGTGATACTTAGAAATTGTGTCTACACATTGACATCATTATTTAATAATGCAGTTGTTTTATAAACATGAAAAGCACACTGGCAGATTCTTGGCCATGTTTCTACTCACTCTGATTTACCTAGGCCTTAGGTAAACTTAACGACAACCTTAAATACAAGCCCAGGAGGGAAAAAAAAAATCTAACAATAGCAACAGTGTTAAACTACTGCTCCTGAGAGACACTTTTTTTCCCATAGAGTAGAGAAGAAATCACCAAAGAGAATATATTTGTAATTTATAAATATCTCCCTCAACAATCAAGGAGTATTGACTGCCACTGAAAAGAAGACAAAAACAGCAGGCTCACTAAAAACAAAAAGTCAGGAAACAAAACACTAAACAAAGAAACTGAAATGAGCTCTCAACACTGACAACTATCTGTGGGACAGTAAGGCAAGGAGATGGATTTTGCAACTGGTCACTTATTTGAGCAAATAGAATACTTAGGACTTACTTAAGAACTGATGATAGTTCACTTCTCTGTGTTTCTTTATATAATGCAACTAAGTCTACATATTCTTTACAAATCCTATTACCAAACGTCTTATTGTACATTAATTCATCCTTTTGGCAAACACTGATCAAATCTGTGCCAGAGACAGTGCTGAGCACTCTACCTTGATCTAAGCTGTCGTCTATTTCCTGGAATCTCACTCTTCGCTTGGATGGTTTCTGTTGCATCTGGGCAGGATGATCTCCTACAGTGTCATTCCTCTTCTTCAATATAGAGACCAACCCTTCAGCAGGAACAGCCTGGCAGAAATGATAAGAACCGCCTGTTACATTATGGTAAGACACATCAGTGATACTTTACATGTAGTGGTAAGAAGGCTAATTCAATTCAACAAGTACTGCAATTCCTATTAGAGTTTTAACCATAGGAAAAAAAATATAACAATTATCAAAATTTTACAGAATAACACTTTCACTTGTATTCAGATACTGCCAAATACACACTTCTAATTTACTGATTTCTTTTCTAAAGCCTTGAATTGAATCCAGGGCCAGGCAGTGTGACACAGCATCGACTGGAAATCAGACCTCCTTTAAAGCTCCCCTTACCTGTTACGTCATCTATAAAATGATTCCTAACTGCCCCTCTTTGCTTAATCATGAGTGCTGGGTTGTGCTTTATAACAAAGGCTTTTTTTCATTCATCGGCAACTTTTAAGAAATGAATATGTGAGGCTAAAAATACACTTGATACCAACTTTTAACATCAAAATCAGTGCTGTCCTCAATTTCTCTGAGAAACTACACATTTACTAAATAATGTTACAGTGCTCTAAACACTTTAAGAACTCTTCTAGAATATCTCTCAGACCTAGTTTACTAGGCATGTATTACCATGTAGTATGCATAGTGTGGCAAACTATGGCCATTAGGCCAAAGGCCCACTGCCTAGTTTTGTAAATACAATTTAATTGGAACACAGCCAAGCTCACTCATCCACATACTGTATATGCCTGCTACGATGGGAAAACTAAATACAGGCCAGAAAGTAAAAAATATTAAATCCTTGGCCCTTCATAGAGTTTGCTGTTATCTCTTTAATTCACACCTCTACCCCTTTCTACGCTGTCTTTCTGGTTTTCACTTGGGATACCTCTCTTCTCCCTCCACCCCACCCCTTATTTAGGATCAAAGAAAAAACAGAAACCCTTGCCATTGTGGAATGAAAAGACTCTGAGGTGTAGGGAGAAAGAGAAGAGAATTGGTTCGTAGAGCCAGGCTGGGAAGCTAGAGGCCTTATTGAAGGCCCCCTAAGCGGTAGGTTGATTCACACAGGTTGACTTGTGGTTGCCTGCTTGGACAAGCTGTAGGTGATGACATAGTTGGGCACTGTGTGCCTAACACTGGTACATGTCAGTGATTTGCTGGTATCACATCACTGTAAGCTGACCACTTCCTGTAATGTCATTTACCTGATCAATGGTATAAAATTCTTAATATGACTTGGAGTTCTAGCCAACTCCAACTTGGAGTTCCAGTTTATTTGATAATAAACTATATATAAATATTATAGATTCTATTAGTTCTTTTTATAACTCAAGGCTTTTAGGGTCAAATAACTCAATACTGTCTTCTACTGGGCTTCCCTGAACATGAATCTATAGAAACCATTATCTCAAAAAAAAATAAAAAATCAATGTTAGTAATTTATTCTTTTTATAGAAAATATGTATTTCAGATGATGTATTTCTTTTGAGAAAGCTAAAGTACTTTAGTGACATTAAAATGATAAGTACAAATTATGTAAAGGAATAGTTTTTCAATCTTTCATCAGAAAGCAAAACATTAAAGAGCATCTTCATAAGACAAAGAAAAACTTTACGAGTATCATGCTGAAACTGGGTACTTAAGGGAGAAAAAGAAGTCCTAATAAGTTTCTAAAGGGCAAGGCATGGAAAATGGAAATTAATTTTTCATAGATTCATTTACTATCGATTTTCTCCATAAAATAGTATTTACCAAAAGTGATGTCACCTATCACAGGTGCTTTCAAATTGCTTTAACTACTTAGAATAAACAATTCTATTAAGAATAGCTCTGAAGAAGACCCCCAGAATTGCATTACTATTAACTGTATATCATTGTGACCTGAGTTTTGAATCTGTAAATTCAAGAAACAGACCCAACAATAAATTGAAAGAACTGCAACTATGAATAAATGGATGGTGAAAGGCCAAGAGAAACTCTCAAAATCATCTGGAAAGACACAGATGGTGCTTCTAAGACCTAGAAGTTATATTAGGTGCAGGAGCTGTTAGGCCCCCACTTTAGCTCCTGCTTGGCCTAATTTGGGGTGTTTGGCTCCAGAACTCAAGTAGTTACAGGATACAAGCCTTTCCAAGTGGCCCCATCTCATTTACCATGGGTGGCAGTGAACTTTGGCAAATTTTTGAAAGAGGGAAGAAGAAAAGAGTATGAGAAATTACAGTTATGTGGGATGAGCCAGCATGCTGTCTTGACACCCTCCCCACTCAACCCTTAATTCCTGGCAAAAATCTAACCACAGGCTTTACTTTCTTTTCCTTTTTCTCTCCCACCAAGAACATGTTTCAGCAAGACAGTGTCTGAAGTGAAGGAATGTGCTCTTTTCCATTATTTCCTTTCAGTCTTGCTCAGGGATCTTCTCCAGGGATCCTTCTTTTTTAAGTGCCCTCTGGTCCTACAGACTATAGGGATGGTGGGACCAAGTTTAGGCATAGGAGATGCAAGCCAAAAAGGAAACTCTTAGGACAGGTCTTTTCTGTTCTGGGAGGAGTTTCGAATAAAGGTCTTAGAACCTATCCCTAGCATGGCAATTCCTACTTACCATGCTAAGGCAATTGGACAAAAAATTTCAGAAATGATATCGGTAGAGTTTAATTTTACGGTAGAAGGGCAAGTTAGTTAAAACAAGATCATGGTGTTAGTCTGGGGTCTCATTCAAAAGTTTGCCAAGTGTTTCTAAGTTTAGGGGACACAGAAATGTGTCTTATTCAAACTACTTAAAAAAAAAATTTCTATGCTTCTACGCCTTTTAATTTTTTAATCATAATGTCAATATTAAAAGGTCAAGAAATTTCAAACCTCAAAAAACAAAGCTTTAAAAACTAAACTTAGGTAATTCTCTGGTGATCCAGTGGTTAGGACTCTGTGCTCTCGCTGCTGAGGGCCCAGGTTCAATCCCTGGTTGGGGGAACTAAGATCCCACAAGCTACATGGCACAGCAAAAAAAGAAAAAGAGAGAGAGAAAATAAAACTAAACCAAATTTAGTTTCCCACTTCAATTATCAAATTCCTTTCCTACCAAAACAAAGTATACCAAAACTTTACACTGAGAACAAAAAGAATGTCTAAGCTGCAATTAGTGTAATTGTTACTGGTACTATACTATGAATTAGTGCAGAATTTTAAAAAATAATGAAATATCCACCTGGCCTAGCTCAGCATGGGCTTCCCAAATTGCATCAGTGGTAAAGAACTTGCCTGCCAATGCAGGAGATTTAAGAGACATGAGTTCCACCCCTTTGTAGGAAAGATCCCCTGGAGGAGGGCATGGCAACGCACTCTAGTATTCTTGCCTGGAGAATCCCATGGACAGAGGAGCCTGGCAGGCTACAGTCCACAGGGTTGCACAGAGTTGGACACAACTGAAGCGAGTTAGCGTGCATGGTAGCTCTGTATATTTGTAAATAAATAGCTCTCCTGCAGTTCCCCTCAAACATCAATGATCATCACAAACAGCATTTTAAGAATGAACTGGTTGTAAAAACAAGATTATTCTGCAACTCTGCTGGCACAGGAAATCATAATATGACAAGGAAAAAACACTCAGACAGGCCTTGCTATTAAATCTGCCTCCTTAAAGGAGAAAATAGATATTAAAAAATATTATTTTATTGATCTAGGCTTTGCTCAACCCAGAACCTTAGGTTGGTAAATTTTGCTTGGTTTGCAACTAATTTGATAATTAATATTCATAAATCATATTAGTATATTACAAATAGCTTGAATGCCAGCAATCTCACTGTAGAAACACATGTCAAGTTTTCTGCTACTCTTCTTCACTGAAGGAAAAAGTCATGGTTCTCTGTTTCCTTTAGATCTGGGTTCCATAATAAGAACTATAATTTAGTGAATCCCTACGCTTTCTGTAAAGACATTTACATAGTAATGTCATCAGTTCAGTTCAGTTCAGTCGCTCAGTCGTGTCTGACTCTTTGCTACCCCATGAACTGCAGCACACCAGGCCTCCTGTCCATCACCAACTCCCAGAGTCCACCCAAACCCATGTCCATTGAGTCGGTGATGCCATCCAACCATCTCATCCTCTGTCATCCCCTTCTCCTCCTGCCTTCAATCTTTCCCAGCATCAGAGTCTTTTCAAATGAGTCAGTTTTTCACATCAGGTGGCCAAAGTATTGGAGTTTCAGCTTCAGCATCAGTCCTTCCAATGAACACCCAGGACTGATCTCCTTTAGGATGGACTGGTTGGATCTCCTTGCAGTCCAAGGGACTCTCAAGAGTCTCTTCAACACCACAGTTCAAGCATCAATTCTTCAGCACTCAGCTTTCTTTATAGTCCAACTCTCACATCCATACATGACCCACTGGAAAAACCATAGCCTTGACTAGACAGACCTTTGTTGATAAAGTAATGTCTCTGCTTTTTAATATGCTGTCTAGGTTGGTCGTTAACTTTCCTTTCAAGGAGTAAGCATCTTTTAGTTTCATGGCTGCAGTCACCATCTGCGGTGATTTTGGAGCCCAGAAATATATCATATTAATTATGTCATATTAATATGTCATACTTAAGTCCTATTTTACAGATGAAGAAGTCAAGCTGAGACAGCTTAAATAACTTGCTTACATTTGTAGCACCAGCTATTGGCAGAGTTGAATACAAACACAAGATTAAACCTCCTGCCATTTCCTTAATGAGAAAAGATCTTATTTTCCATGATTATTAAAATCTTGCTTAGTGTCATTTGTTATATATTACAATTAAAATGAGATGAACAGAACTTTCAAATAAACCTAATAAGTTTCTTTTGTCTTTCCAAAGCACTTTATACAACAAATCCTTATCTTATAAATCACCTGAATTAAGATATACTTAAACTAATGGCTAAATCTATCTATCTAGAGACACTGGGGAGGAGATGGTTAGATGAAAGATCATTTGTGTCATTCAATTCATCTGGAAGTAGATTAATGTCATGGCTACTACTACAGCAAATTCATAACAAGTCACAGCTGGAGCA